CTATCTAGGATTGGCAGCACTCTATGGAATTGGGATAACAGTGCTAGTGAATCCACCCCCACTACAAAAATAATGAATAATATTATTAGTAGAATGGTGTCATTTATATTGGGACCTATAGAGTAATTAATACGAATGTTTAGTCCATCAATCAACACTATATCTGCCTGAATTTTATGTACATCATTAGCATTTCCATTGAAGTATGATAAATAAATAAAAATTAACATATAGAACAAAATAACCCCAACTTGTCTGGAACAGAGGAACAATTGTCATTGTTGCATGTAGATCAAAATAAAAATGGAACAGTATTCAGTTTTGTCAATTAACTTAAATAAGGACTTAAGATTTTAAAAAATATTTTTGAAAAATCGCAAAGAAATTGCAATCAGAATTAGTACTCCAATTAATAAAAGGAAATCTAAAGTACCGATTTTCAGCTTCTGATTATGATTTTGAGCTCGAATTACAACAAATAACGCTAATTCTTTTGTGATCCGACATTGGAAATTGTAAATACGAAGAAAAAAAAAAGTAACTACTCATGAGTGATCCGGAATGGAGGAGAAACGGAAACCTGATTCAGAGAAGGAAGCGGCAGAACTGAATGATGGTAGCGGTGATTGTGCAGTGGTGTTCCGCTGTGCACGGTGGTAGAAGCGACGGAGCGTTGAGGAGGAGGAAGAGAGGGGAGGAGGGGTAAACTGTAATATGTATACAGATCCACCGAGATTTTAATTTAAAACATCCTTTAATGTTTAATTGTTTATTTACACAAAATTTAACCTTTAATCAAATATTAATATCGAGAAAATGATCAATTGTCCTTAATGTATGGGTAATATATTTTACATAATATATAAACATGATCATTATCTTCACGTCAGTCGGCAATTATGATCTTTAATTTTGGGTGTATACGAGTAAATGTGTGTCTACTTATTCAATTTTATACAAATTTAAGTGTCTACTTGTGCATACTCAAAGTTGGAGGACATAATTGTCCGCTGAAATTAAGTTAAGGGTCGTGTTTATATATTATGCCTAAATATTTTACCGTACTCTGTACGTTCTTATTTACATATCGTCTTTACTAAAAATACATGTTATTTAATACTTGTCATTTCATAAAATCAATGCATAAATGACATTATTATTCATATTTTATCCTTGAAAGTATGTATTTGACCAACATAAAAAAACAAAGTAATTATTTTATTTATTGAAAATTTGACTTCAAGAAAACACTAAATAAGGGTAGTAAACTTACCTAATTTTTTAAAGAAACGTGAAACCTAAAATGGTGACAACTAAATAGAAGCGGAGGGAATATATTTTATTTGATTTAAATAATCCTTAATGTATAAATTATAGTAATAAAGATGTTCATTTTGGTCATTAATATATTTCACTGGATTGTAATGGTTCTTAATATATAACAAAATGTGTTCATTTTGGTCATTTACCCCAAAGCTAATAGGTTTATCAAAAAATGTTAAATTTAACTGTGGACCTTACGTGGCTAACAAAATTCACCATTATTGTCTTCTTTGCTAGCTTCAAAAAAAGAACTCTATAAAATCTCACAATATTTTCACTACTTTCTCCAACAAATTACTATTTTCTCTTTCCTAAAATATTATTACACTAACCTAATAATCTACTATTGTTTTCCCTAGAAGTTACAAAAAGGGGATTAAAAAAATCCATGAAGCTAACAAAGAAGATAATAATGAAGGATTTTTTTAACTACGTGAGATCCGCAACTAAATTTAACACTTTTTATTTAAATCTATTAGATATAGAGTAACGAATCAAAATAACCACATTTTTGTTATACATTAAGGATTATTTCAATCAGATGAAATATATTAAAGATCAAAATGGACACTTTTATTATACATTAAAGACCATTTAAATTAAGTGAAATATATTAAGAATCGAAATAAAGCATTGTCTACACATTAAGCATTATTTTGATCAAAGTGATTTATTATACCGTATTAACTTTCTTTAATTTTTATTTAATAAAATTTGAATAATTTTCCTTATTTTTACTATAACATGATAAAAATTAAAAACTTACTTTCTTGATAAAGTTATAGCAAATTCCAAAAAATATTAGGTATTTTAAAAAAGAGTTTTTAATATTTTTTTTCATAATTTACCCAAATCAAAAATAATATATATGTTTCATGATCCCAAAAAGACGACACAAAAAAAAAAATGCAACAAATAATTTTCTTTTAGATTCCCCCCCCCCCCCCCCCCCCCCCCCCGCCAAATATTTTTCCAAGTCAAAACAATATCCTTCTTATGATCCCAAACAAACTTAGCTTTTTAGAAAAAAAACTACAATAAATATAAAAAAGCTACTAGATTTATGTTTGAAAACTTTTTCTCGAAGAGGTATATTGTTTTGGATTGAATAAATTATGAGAGAAAATTTAATGGAGATGGCTTTTTATTTCATCCAATAAGAAAATGATACATAATAAAAAAAAAATTAAAAAACAAAATAAAAAGAGCATTGTTAATTTCAAGAGTATAAGTGAGTTAAATGTGAATGAAAAATATTTGTAGATCAAAAAAATAAATAGAAGGATATTTTTTAGAACAAAAAATGTACAAAAAATATTTTTAAACCCTTTACTATAATTCAAAAATATCTTTGACCTTTTTCCATAATAATAATAAAAGAGAAATATTAAAAACACCCTCGAACATGACGCGAATTATTGATTTAATCCTCGAACTATTGATAAGCTTAAAAACACCCCTATATATACAAACTTAAGTTCACCCATCCTAACTAGGGGTGTGTATTGGTCGGTTCGGTTCGGTTATAAGTATTATTGGTTCGGTTTATCGGTTTTCTGTTTTTAAATATGCTAAACCGATAACCAAACCAATAAGATATTTGTTATCGGTTTTCGGTTTATCGATTTTAGGTCTTTAACGGTTCGGTTTTTTTATTTAACCAATAAGAAAATGCTTTCAAAACAAATATATGACTTATCCAATAATTTGACATGATACACATACATCGAAATAATCATTCCAAACGGGACAACAAGGACCAACTTGTTGTATTTTGGTCATCACAACAAAGACTTGGTTAATTTTCGATCACCATAATATATATAAAACGAGGTCCCCTTTATGCAATAAAGAGAATCAAATAAAACCAAATCATAGACAAAAGTCAAAACAGTAGCAAATGAGGCCATGCTTATGGTAACTAAATGAAGTTCTTACGTTATTTTAAAAAAAAAACACGCATAATTTGAATTCCTGACGTTAATCAAATTGCAGATATTTACAATCGTGCAAAAGCTAATATTAGTCAATTATAAACTAACTAAAGTAAATAAGGAATACTAAAAAGTAAAACCTAAAGGTTAAATAACTAAAAGTAGAGAGGAGAGTTAATTGTTAAGTAGTGTTAATTATTGCGTAGGGTTTTATATTTTTAGTCTAATATACTACTAATTATATTAATATTTTAAAAATATATTATATATATGTATAACTAAAAATTAAAATAGTAAATTATTATATTCTTAATGGGTTATCGGTTAACCCAATAACCCAATATTAAAAACCAATAACGAACCGATAACCCAATAAATTTTTTTGTAAAACCATTAAATAACTGTTATCGCAATAACCCAGTAACAATAAACCAATAATATTTTTTTCGGTTCAATTTATCGATCGGTTCGATTTTTGCACACCCTAATCCTAACTGATTACACTCTCCTTAAGCACATGAAAAGTTACAAAAAGGCCATATCAAACTTTTTATTATTTTTTTCCTTCGATTTTTAATTTCCAACAGCTACAATACCCTTCTTCTCCCTATTTAACTTCCCCTCCATTAAAACCGACCTCAAAACAAGATTCAAAAAATTTCCACTCTTTTTTAATTGCTTAATTTCATATGTTATAATATTCTTTCTCCTCCTATTGTGTTCATATGACTGTTTTTTGTCGATGTGGATTTCCAGCCGTGTTAAGAAATTCAATTCTTAAGAAAAACGCGAACAAAACCCTAACAAAATAAAGTAAAGCAGATCCTTATCAATACTTTAATCAACGTTTTCAAGCTTAAAATTGTAGAAAGCTTTTGGTCGGAACAGAGGTGAGACACCGCTGAAAATTTTTGGTCAGGAAGAAATTAGAGACAAAACCCCTCTTTTTTTTTAATTTCTTTTATGTTAATTTATTTTTTTTAAATAAAGAAAAAACAAAATCCGTGTAGCACGTGAATGACACATTTTTGTGTATGGTATGAGAGGGATGTTTTTTAAGTTTTTTTTTTTTTTTACCCTCCCTAGGAGCTCCCATCTCTTTTGCTACCTTGGTGACTTGAACTCGCAACCTTCAGATTGGAAGTGAGGGGTGTTTACCATTCGAACAACTCCCTCTCGTCGGATGTATTTAAGCTTTGTTCCCCAAGTATAGAGGAATTTTTAGGCCTGCCAATAGTTTAAAAAGAAAACTAATAATTCACACCAAATTTGGGGTGTTTTAATACTTCACTCTAATAATACTAAGGTTGCCTTCATATCACAGTAAATGAAAGAAAGTTGATCATTTTGTGAAATAGGAAAACAAGTAAGGAATTAAGTACATGTGTGCAACAGACAGCATAGACATTTAGCCATAACATGCAAGTTGTGTAAAAACATAACGTTTTTTCATTAGTGTCTTTAGAGATCAGGCTATTGCAAAAATGTTTAATTTCCATATCAAAACTTCTTCAAGTTGGATGGAATCGCTCTATTTATTTTTTACCCAACTCTATATACGTGAAAAAAAAAGGAAAACAAAAAGATATATTTGTAATACATTACATTAGTTAATTTGAATTCTAGTTTCTCTAATTAAATCCTGATGCAACATAAGTATCATGTTTTTTATTTTAGTTAATGTGGCTTTACTTAAGGTCATGGGTGCAAGTCTTGGAAACAGTCTCTGCCCAGAAATGTAAGGTAAGACTGCATACAATAGACTTTTGTGGTCGCGAGATGTCTGTAGTGCATCGGGCTGGCCTTTGTGGCTTTACTTAAGGAAACTGAAAGCCAGCACCAGCAACACCTTGTCCCTGACCAATTTGTGGGTTACCAATAGCTATCCATAGCAAGGAGAGTGTTATTGCAATGAGTCCTGACCAGACGAAGACGATGGTGGGTGTTTTTCTCCTTCTACCCATGAGTCCCTTAGCGAAAGGATACAAATGAGCTAACACCCAAAACGCGAAGAATGCACCACCAATGAATCTTCCCCATTGCGGTACAACGGCAAATACTGCCCTAGAGAATGCAACTACAATTGCAATTATGTTAACCATACCGATGACTATAGGTGGTATCATCAATGATGTCCATTTAACCATGTACAATTCAGCATAGGCGTCATCTTCGTCTTCTCCAGCAGATTTTGAAGTGAGGGTAAAAGATATTTCAATCCCTGCGATAACTTTAAGGAGACCTTGTATAACAGCAGCAAGATGGGCACTAGTACCTGAAATGAGCCAAAATTGTTCATTTCTCCACCAATCCTCTAGAGCAACGCCGGACCATTTTACTTCCAAGATGGCTAAACCGATGAGACAGAGTGATATGGTTAATAGAAATACAAGGAACACGACGTTGACATTTTGGACGATGAATTGACCGGATATGAGGGAGAGTGCAGGGAGAAAACAGTAGATGATGAGGAAAAATGAAGTGAAAGGATAAATTCCGACATTAAGGTAAGCAAGACGTTGGAGGACATTGAGTTTTCGGGATGCAAGGAAGGCATTGTTCCCTGAGAAAAAGATTTCAACAGAGCCAGTAGCCCAACGGAGCACTTGATGTAGCCTATCTGTTAGATTTATAGGAGCTGATCCACGGAACGCGTCACGTTTGGTGATGCAATAAATAGAACGCCATCCACGATTATGCATCCGGTATCCAGTAACCACATCTTCCGTCACCGAACCATAATCCATCCAACTCGATCACCCCACTCTGTCTTGTCTTCATACCTAATAAATTGAGTTAATTTAGTAATGCTACATTGCTCAATTAACTAAAATGTGAATGTATAAGATCAAAATGAAATTCATTAACTTACCAACAAGATATGACAGAAACTGCTTCCGCGACAGTGGTGGCATCGAGTGGTTCCTTTGGGGCTCTAAGAGCACCAGGAGGTCTTCCATACTTGACAGCAGGGTGATCCGCGATAGGGCGGCCTTGGAACTCAGCAATTGGAATAGACTCAGATAACATTGTGGAGTTTCCAAAACGCTTAGGTAGTAGATTCACATCTAAGTCAGGATCAAAATCTGTGGCTTTCAATGCTTGAGCCTCTGCACCTTTTTGTGGTGTCTTATCAGGATTTGCTGGTTCAAATCCGTAAAGTGCAAACCGTCTAAACATGCAACCCGTCCCAACATACATAGGACCCTATATATGAACGATCGAGAAAGTTTATAATGTTTTTCGATCTATGAAATGAACGAGAAATTTGAAGAGAGTGATTATTATTACCTGGAGGCCATCAAGTGCACGCATATTTCCATCGAAAAACACAGTATTGTGATTGGCATAGCGATCTGAGGGATCGATTCCTTCAAATCGTTGAGGGAATTGAATATAACATATGTCTTCTCCACCTCTATCCATCATGAAACACATTCCTTCACGAATAGCTAAGCAGTTGTATACATAGTGATCACAATCAAGGTTGAGTATGAATGCACCATTAGACAATATAGCAGAAGCTCGCACTAAGGCATTCATGGCACCTGCTTTTTATTATGATCATACCCACGTCTCTTCTCACGTGACACATATACAAACATTGGAAGTCTTATGTCCACGTCCGAAATATCCAATAGCTTATCTTGATCACCCACTCCCATTAGTGGATCACTACTTGGGGGTTTCAACATTACCTGTAAATTACAATTTCATGTATGTATGTCAATATTCGTAATTAGAAATTAAACAATTATGTACTGTTTGCTTGAGAAATTAGTAACCTGAAGGATCCCGGGATGATCACCCTTTCCATGATCCCTGCTGGGCACAGCCCATGATCCAGGCCAGTGAGTTCCATCAGCCATCCAAGTAGCCTTTTGCACTTTGATTGCCTCTGCAGGATCAGTCCCATTCTCTTTCATGTGCTTTAACATCTTCATTTCCTCACGAGCATTAAACGCGTCTGATCTCCTTCTTATTGAATCTTGAAGACCATTTATCCTGACCTTAAATTCATCATATTCTCTTTTAACCCTTCGTCTATCTTTGACGAAATCAATTCTCTTCTTGTTCTTTGTAGGGTCTCCCTTTAGGAGAAAATACGCTTCAGGATTCCTCGGTTCAATAGCATGTTTCCTACAGAATGGTACCCACAGATCAGCAAAACTAGCAGCTTCTGCCATTGCCTCGAATGTTAGAAGGGCACCGCCATCATCTGAAATGTAGCAAGCTAGCTTATCCACAGGATATTCAGCTGCTAAAATGGATAGAATGGTGTTGGCTGTGACAAGGGGCGGCTCTTTCTCTGGATCAGCCGTTGACACAAACATATCAACTCCTGGAAGATCTGACCTACCCGTAGGATTAGATGGTGATGGCATTTCAAATTTCTCGCGTAGTACCAGTAGGTCAGTTGACCGATTAACTGGCGATATCTTGGGCATTTGATCAAGGATCCATGAAAATGCAAACCATACTTCACATATAATTGACATGAACCATAACCACATTGCATCCGGATTTGGATGTCGTATTCTCCATGTCAAGAAGAACCCCAGTACAATAAGTCGAATAACAATTAGCAACCTGTACATACATTTCCATTACTTAAAAACAGAACAAACCGATGTACAATTGAGTTTGCATACACCAAAATTAGAAGTACAAACCTGTAAGGGCTAATGATGCTATGCGGAATTGGCAACTTCCTACTGAGGGGTTTCCAAGGTATATCAGCAGATGTATCCAACATGGTCTTATTCATACCTCCATCACCATCATCTCCGTCCCTTTCATCAGGCCAATAAGCATTTCCATATCCATACGTGCCTTGTGTCTCGAAGAGCCATTTGTTGTGATCGAACTCTCCATTTTGATTTCTCCTCATCATACCTTTCGAACCATCTGGTGCCGGTAATGACAATGCTCCATTAGAAAAATTTGGGATCTCATCATCAAGATCCCCGACTTTGTATGCTTCTTTGCAACCTGGGCATAGACCTGTGTCTTTTTGTGCGTCCATGTAGCAATCTCTACATATTTTGAACCTAAACACAAAACAAACACATCAACTTCGGGGATTCTCAGTAGCTCAGTTTGTTGACTACTTGAACTTTCATCTTATCATCATCATATATTATTAAAAGTCGGAAGCTCCAAAGTGCAAAAGTTAAATTAACCCAGGAAAAAGCTGTTCTTGCAAACTATAAATTAAGACAATGGACAATATCAGATAAATCATAAGAAGCAGTAGTGTTCAATTGTTGATTTTCAAAGTTTCTTCTTTTATTTGATTCCTTCTTCATCTATGCATTACCACAACCTCAAATTTGATGGCATTCATAATTCCAAGACGAGATATAATCATATATATGTGATAATTAAGTTCGATGATTCATTATATTTGTTTGGTAAGAATCTTATTCTTTACAACAAATTTTTCATGTTGCACAATATCAATGTCAGAACTTATAAAATATGTTGATTGTGAGGAAGATGTGATGAACGCACGTTCCCAGAGACTAGTAAACAAAAATAAATTACCTGCATTCACAAGGGATTACATCATTTCCCCTTTCATCTTTCATGATCTTTCCATCACAAGCAGGCATGGAACATGATGATCCTTTTGATCCAGCCATTTGAGGATGATTAACTTCAGATTCAATCACCTTATCCATGAGATGAGCACGAGTAACACTGTTAAATCCCCCTGTAAACAACGAATTCGAAACATATTGCTCCTCTGCTTTGGCAGCAACAGACGTATCCATCGGCTGATTATCAGGCGTAGGCGGAATTTGAACAGTATAATTCATGTAATCTCCTGATAACTCTCCAGACATATCAAGGTCTTCTCTAGACAGGCTAACATATCGTCCACTAGACGTTCTTCGTGCAAATTTCACTGTTTGTCCACTAGAACTTCCTGTTTTACCACCAGCACCCTGAGAGCCTCCTGGATTTGTTCCTCCAGGAGTACGCGTTGTCTTCTTTGATGGTGCACCCGTCAAGCTTGCCATTTTTATATTTTTTTTGAGTTTTCTCAAAACATAACCTTATAAACTACGTAAAACTAGCTAATTTATTTTCGCGAAAAATGTACGTATGTACGTGACAATGAATTGGGTGGTCTTCTTCTCAATCATGACAACAGATGTTTCCTTTCTTCATCATAATTTTTTTTTTTTTTTGGAATCACTCTTGATCTTGATCAATGTTGTAGTAGATGACCACCCTCAATTTTTATTTATTTATTTAGAGTACTAAAAAAGAAAGAAAAGAAAAGTTGACATTGAATTAATTCAATTCACTTAACTAAAGTACAATATTTTTTTTTTTTTTTTTACTAGTTCTCCGATTACTACGGAGAACCAACGAGAGACACACCAAGCAAAGAAAAACTTGTGAGGAATAATTTATGGGGCAGGATGTGAGGGTGTTTGGTTGGATGGATGGGAGAGAGTTGCGCGGGGAAGAGAAAAGACGTAGAAAATTGGGCTTCCTAGATCGAAACGAGAGAGTATAGATATAAAGAGACCTTCATTTTCAAGCTAGAGTGAAGATAAAAAACAAGAATAGATCTTTTAAATATTCAAACTCTAATGTCAAAATGACACGAAGACAAAATTCATTGCTTCAACACGGCTTTATTTTTTCTAGTAAAATCATTATTTTGTGGAAAGTATAAATAAAAAAGAAAAAAAAGAAAAAAAAAAAGAAAGATACTACATGATACGAAGAAATTCCTCAAGCTAATCTTAACATGTTTCACATCTATTAATCTTTTAAAATTTGAGATTTTAATGAGTTTCTGAATTTTAGAGAAAAGGGCAATGAAATACTTACTAAATTTAAGTACTTTGTGTGTTTGTATTTTGGGTTTCTTTTTAACTTTTATGTGTTTGGTATAAAGGACAATATTTTTAGAAAAAAATATTGTTTTAATAAGAAATTGTCTCACTATACCACATTTTCTAAAGTTTCAGTACTTATATTATTTCAAATGTAGTATAAATAAAACATAAGTGAAGAACTAATATCATTTTTTCCTTTTTAATGAAAAGTATTTTTTGGTGTTTGATTATTAGAATATCTTCCTCAACACCAAATATTATTATGTTTACCCTAAAATGGTATAGTAAAATTTATATGAGGTTAAGAGCATGCGTTCTAATATAATTTCACTAAATTTATATGAGGTCAAGAAATTACATTTTAATCTAACTTTTTTTTAGATTTATTTATAACTAGCGATTTGAATATTAAATTAAAGCATTTTAAAAAAAGTTTTTTTTTTTTTTTTGAAATGGGGGATTTCTTGGTTTAATTTGCTGCCATTTGGATGGTGCATCAAGGGCTTCGTCTTTATATAATGGATCAAGTTCAGAAATGATCTTAACTTGGTCTGGTCTTTTGATATTTTATCCCCCATCAGAAAAGTTTAACAAAAATACTCTTCATAAGGGTGGAGTTGATTTTTTTAATCCTGCTTAATAATCATATATTTTTTTTAAAAAATAGTTTGTAATTCAGAAAATTCTAACTTTTGCCCATAAGACATACGTTCAGAGTATTTTCTGCATAAGTCCTAACTTATATCCATAAGGTAAATTTTTAAAATGTTTTGAGACAACAAACTTGTTCAATTGACTAGAAGTTGTGCTAGGCAAAACTTAAAATTTTGGTATGTTGTCTAAGGCGTACATAAATTTGTTTGGTTTGATTTTTCATTGATAAATAATTAAATCGATTATGTAGGTTTATTAAATTTATAAACCAAATCAAATCAATATAAAGTTATTTTTAAAAAAACATTTTCTTATAATTATTAGTGTGCTATCTCGGTTGTGCTGCCGAAAGCTTTGGAAAAGTCATAATAGAAGAGCACTCATCTTGAGGTGGGCTTACTACTTAGATCTTTCAACAATTATTTGCTCCGCATTTGATTATATCGTGGGCACGATAACTGATACACTAGAGATGCGTCATTTGCAGTGCTCTCGTACTAGGAAAAGATCCTTTCAATGCTCTAATGTCCGCACCAGATATGGACCGAATTGTCTACGACGTTCTGAATCCATATTTCAAGATATTGAACTTATTAAACCTATGTTGTTCGGCATACTCTTCAAAAATATCAATGAGTGCGTGTCGGATTCTCCAAAATTAGTATATTTTTGAAGGATTCAATACAGATGCAGCAATATTTTTGAAGAATCCGAGCAACTTAATATTCAACTAACTTCAAATTTTACCATCGGACAAAATTTAAATTTTAGAATAAACGCACAGTACGTGACAGTGAAACACTAATAATTCTTAGGGCACCACGCTAAATTTCCTCTTATATAACACCTACCATTTCAAAACAGAGCATTTAAGCCACGAACAGAGAGGTTTCTCATCTCTCTCGTATCATTATGAATAGCTGGTGCCAATGTGCAAGATTGTCGGCGTATCCTCTTGATGCAGGGATTCACGGCCGGAGACATATACCGGAAATCGTATTCAGTTCAGTAGCGTCCAGGACTTGGTCTAAATGTGGTGGAAATCTGAGAATTAGCATGAGAGACAGGAGCAAAAATCGAAAACCCTTGCAGAAGGGGAGAAACCTCAGTATTGAAGCTATTCAAGCTGTTCAGGCACTGAAGCGGGTGGCTAGCAAAAACGATGACTCCGCGGTGGAACAGGTGTTTAATAGCAAGGTCAGGCGTTTGATTAAGAATGATATGATAGCGGTTCTCCGTGAACTTCTCCGCCAGAATCAATGCCTCTTAGCTCTTAAGGTTAGCGCCACTCATATTATAGTTTATTCTCTTGTTTAGTTGTTCAATTCGCAAATCCTTTATATCTAGTTTCTAGTTTTAGGATGCTGTCATTGTGAATCCTCGTCTTGGAATTTGAATGTCATTTAGTTAGTCTCCCAACTGAAAGAAGAAAAAAACAGGAAAAAGCCCCAATTCTTACACCCTCAGTATTAATCACTTACCTCCTTCAACATGCAAGGGCATAAGGTATGGACTATTGTTGACGGAACTGTTAAAATGGTAAAATGAGTGTTCCAAAAACTAAGCAAGCAATTGGGGGTATGTTTAAAAAAAGTTCCGAAGAGGAAGTTCAAGCTTTATTCGAGAGCAGGTGGGTGGAGACCTAATAAAATTCTACTCTGAAGAGTTGTTGCAGCTTAAGGCAGAAAGGTAAGATGGAAGCAATTGGAGTTTCCAGTCAGTTATGAGGATAATTTTGGAGAGGGAAATTGTAGGAAGATGTTTGACTATACTCAAATGTGTTGAAATCCCATAGCGGTTGTGGGAGGGAACATAATGAAGCTAAAAGTTTTGAATTGGAACGGTTGGGACTTGGGACCTGTGCCTAAATGATTCCAGGAAGTATTATGTCTTTTCAAGATGCTTGCCCAGAAATGGAAGGCAGCGGGGTAGGGATTGTTTCTTTTAGGACACTAAAGTCTAGTTAATGGATCCGGGTTAGTAGATTTATCGATTTTGGCAAAATATGAGATGTGAAACAAGAAGAAAAAAAGAGAACTTTATATTGGTTAATGAGACACTATGCAGTGGCGGATGTAGCTCTGTGGCAAACCGCTCATCCAAAACCACGTGGAGCGTAGAATATATGTCAAAACCCACTAAAGTTTCAACAAATATTAAATTTGAACCCATAATTTCAAAAATATAATGAGTTTCGTGGTCACAACCTTAAAGGTCGAATCCACCAACTTTAAATCCTGGATCTACCGCTGCCACTATGCACAAAAGCAGTATCTCATATAAAAGTCTAAGGCTACGAACAATATAAAAAATTAGTTATGTAATTGTTCTTTATGCCTAACAATGTAAGTAATTATCCAATGATTAAATACAAATATTCTACGATATCATAGGGAAGGTTGGAATATTCTTTTCTCCTATAGTAATGCAATGAATCTGGTCATACTGTAATTTTCTGTCTCAAGATGGAGTAGATCATAGGCTCCAACCTTGCCTCACATATATATTATCCTAGGTCCTTAGAGTGCTTTGCTGAATGTATCAGCCAAACAGAATTATAGGAGAAGAAGTTCAAGTTGTACTTACCATCAGATAAACTCATAAACTGACAATCAAACTCAATGTCTTGAGTCCACTCATGTAATACTGGACTATACACAATATGCATTATAACTTCATTGTCACAAATCAATTTCATTTACTATACCTTTCAAACTTTTAACTTCTCAGGTAATTGTTTCAACTACATAAGTTCACTACCAATGTCATAGCTCTATGCTCGACTTCTGTGCTTGATCTTGGCGTCAACTACCTTCGCTTCTTTTTGTTTCAAGAGAACAATTTTCCATCAATCAGTTCATGATACCGGATGTGAATCACCTGTCATATAGAGTTTCAACTCATTTTGCATCTGTAAACCTGATAAGCTGAGTATTTTCCTAATCTTTGCATAAAGTTTCTGACCAGGATCAGTTAACAGTTTACCATGCCACTTTTGGCGAAGATATCGAGAGTACTTTCCCTTTTTCTTCCAGCTGGGGGGACTAAGCAACTTTTATTCCCCAAAAGAGCATAAGTCATCCCAAGTCTTATAACTGGAATTAGAAAGGATGTGTTGTGTTAATTCCTAAATCACTTCCTGATGGCACCTGATCATATTCAGTTAATACCATATCTTCCACAATTACAATGATGTAGGATAAGGCTCTTACTTCGTAGTGTCAATATAAAATAGAATTATTCCAGCTGCTACAAGCTAATATATGCAGATATTCTTTCTATGTACACCCTCCAAAGACATCTTGTTTTGAGTAGGCAGCGCTAGGGTGAAACTGAGGTTGGAATCCATTCATAGGTATTATCGCAATCTGATTATCTCCATGTAAGGTTGTGATGGTTCTTCCATCCAAGGATTGTATGAGTTGGAGAAAGGACTAACAACTACAACAACATACCTAGTGTCATCCCACAAGTGGGGTCTGGGGAAGGCCCTACCTTTTGAAGGCAGAGAGGTTGTTTTCGATAGACCCTCAGCTCAAGTAAAACATAATAAAATTAATTATGGAAAGGAAAATACAGTAGTGAAGCAATCATGTTGCATATAATGGAAAAGAGAACAACATCAACAACACATAATATTATAACTGACGCAAAGAAAACAACATGTAACAATAAAATGGAAGAACAAGATAGAATGTGAGTAATAATAACAATACTGGTAAGGGAGACTAGACAACGCTTGACTACCTACTAACCTTCTATCCTAATTATCGACTCCATATCTTCCTATCTAGAGTCATGTCCTCACCCCTCGATAAGCTGCAAGTGTGTCATGTCATGTTTAATCACCTCTCCCAATTATAAGTACTGGTGTTCAATACTTATAATATCCACAACAGAAGTACCCAAAGGGATGGTGATCTAGCGGTCAGTGAAGTGCGTGAAAATTTTGGAAACCAAGGTTCAAATTCCAGCAGAGGCAAGAGACAAAATGTTATGCACTATTTTCTCATATGCCTAAGCCTTGTTGGACAGAGTTACCCGGTACCAAAGTTGATGGGAGGTTGCAGATACACAATGGAATAGTCAATATGCACACAAGCTGGCTCGAATGCCACCGTTATAAAAAATCAAGTTCATCACACAAGTCACAAAACTCAGGTGTTACCTGAATGATAGTAAGGCATTCAGTTGGCTGACGAGGTTGGTATCTTAGTTGAAAGTACATCCACCAAACACCTTCGGCATAGATATTTCTGTAGGTCACTCATACATGTTAGTGGCCCTCACTTTCAACTCCTCATACTACCATTATGGGTCTTGCTCATCAAAGACCCCCAGCCGCAGCAGCGCCTAAGGTAGATATGTTGGAAAATTTTATTTATTTAACAACTTAAGGTGGTGAAATTGCTTGAGTTTGAAAATCAGAACTGGAGAATTAAGGTGAGCATGCCAAATTGACTTTTATCTTTTGCTGCCGCTGTTAGGAAAACTAACTGTATCATGGTGTTATCATGAATTCATGAGGCATGATTATTTGGGGCACATGTGCTGCCAATTTGATTATATTACTAAAAATTATAAGATACTATCAGCTTGGCTAGTGATCACTGGTAATGCACGGTGCTAACTTGAAAGGGATATGCAGCTGACATGATAATGACATGATTGTTGATGTTGTCGTTGCAGTTGACTAGATGCTGACGGGACAGCTGTGGGCTGTTGACTTAATAGATCAATTAAAATAGATTGCTAATTGACTAGTTAGGTGTAGAGTGATTACTTGACAAGTTCGTTTACTTGGACCAGTAACTCTCGACAATTATGAATTGCTGACTTGACAGGCTAGCTTATCCGGGCTGATGACATCAGGAGCTTTACAAAGGAGAGTAGAAAGACGGTACGGCTAGGAACATCATTGAAAAGAAACAAAGACTTAAAAAAATAGAAAACAAAAAACTTTGGCCACACAGGCAGCCTTAAGTCACTACTTATTTGCTTACCTAGATAGCAGAGACTTTGATATATGTGATACTAGTGGATTGGTTAACAACATCTAAAGGAATTCCTTATATAGGAATTTTACCACGTTATTTTCAACATGATAATCTATGGAATATGTACATCCTACTTAATATTCTATGGGTTCGACAATATTCTCCCACTTGTGTTCAATGAAAGTAGACATGCAGTGAATTTTTACACATTTAACTTATGGAAAATGGCCTAAAATACCCCTCAACTATGCGAATTGGTACACATTTACCCTTCTTCTACCTTTCGGGCCTAAAATGCCCTTGACGTCAACCTTTTGGCTCTATGTTGCCCTCATCTTTAACAACCTAAATAATAGCCTCAATTAGCAAATTCATTTACGACGTGTCACTATCCTATTGGCTACCCAATAATTAATTAAACTAACTAAAAAAACCAAACCCACCCAAAATCCCCACCCGTAAACCCAGATCTTTTAACCCAATATTACCTCGATTTTTTAACCCAATATTCATCCCCAAACCTTTTAACCTAAAAAAAAACTTATGCTCATTATCTTCAAATCTCCTCTCTTCTTCCTTAATCGAAGCTCACCAGGACTCAAACTTTTTTGCCAACAATTTGAAGTTTCTACTCTTCGTGCAGTTGCAGATTAATATCCTCACCCACTCAAGTAGGAATTTCTCTATTTTTAGTATTTCCGGTTAGGGTTTCGGATTTGTCTAATGTTGTTGTAATTTGATTTATATTTACATTTTTTATGTTGTTATATGCTTGTTGTAGTTGTTTTTAGAAGATACATGTGTTTTTTGTTTAAGTTATTATCTCGATTTATGATTTTTTAACTATGTTGTCTCAAGCTGAAAAATTTATCTTTTCCAACATATATTTTGTGTATTTTTCTCTATTTTCCATGATTTCTTGTATGTTAGGTATGTCATACTTAAATGCATTTATTTATTTTTGGTGTTGCATTCTCTATGTAATCTGATACACATAACATGTGGTCCCTATCCCTTTACCCTTTATCATTATCTTTTCATAAAATATTGGTAGATTCCTTGTTTGTTGTTTTTTCTTTATTGTTTTCTGATAAGTCACTTTCTCTTTTTTATATCTGTCTTGTGACTTTCTTCAAAGAATGGTTGAAAAGGTTGATGTGGTCTTTAACTATGGAGGCAAGTGGGTCCTGACTCCTCAAGTTAATTACATTAAAAAATTGACTCATATATGGGAAGAGTATGATCCAGATTTGGTATCATAGATAGACCTTTGTTCAGAATACACTGAACAATTGTGTTTTAGTAAGGTGAAACAGTTGTTATGCTTGGGGCCTTCTAATAAGTATTATCAAGTAGAGGGTGATTCAGGAATTAGAACACTGCAGATTGCATCGTCTACTCAATCTAGTGTGCTTCAACTTCAACTGTTTGTTGTGGGGGAGGTTGAAGATATTGTCCCAGCTCTTGACATGAATCAACTTAATGAACCTTTCCCTATCACAATAGATGCAGTAATTGATAGTGACTTCAGCCAACTGATAGAATCTCTCCCTATTACAATAGATACAAGAATTAATGATGATATCAATCAACTTAATGAAGCCTGTCCTGTGACAATATATGCAGTAACTGATGGTGAATCTAGTGAAGAAGAGAAGGGTGAAAATGAACCTTTTGCTAGTGGTCATGATAGTGATGAGTTGGAAATTTTTTTAGGAGGGAAAAGGAAGAGAAGTAACTGGGAAACTAGACAATTTTTAAGAGTTGGAAAAGGGTATGAGCTTCAAGTATCTTGATGAAGCTAAATGAATTGTGAGTTATTATTCAATTGTTAGGAAGAGGGGCCTTAGAGTTGTGAAGATCGACTCTACCAGACTTAGATATAGGTGTGATATTGGTTGTCCTTTTTTGTGTCTAATATTAGAAGTTAAGAAAGGCCAAGGATTTGAAATTAAGACCTTAGAAACAAAACATACATGCCAGGAAGCCTTTATGAACATAAGAGCTACTCAACAAGCTTTAGCACACTACTTCAAGAACAAGGTTCAGAATAACCCCAAGTACAAAGTGAAAGACATGAGGCAGGATGTAGATGATCCCTTTTCCCTTAATATCAGTTATTCAAAAATGAAGAGGGTTAAAAGACTTATCTTGGAGAAACTGGAGGGTAGTTTTATTGATGATTTCAACAAATTGGAGGTTTAAGCTCAAGAATGGAAGGATAGCAATCCTGGTTTTGATGTGGTGATAAACATATCTAAAGATGCTTTGGAACAAGGAAAAAGAAGATTTTCAAGAATGTATGTTTGCTTTCAAGCTTTGAAAAGTGGATGGAGAGTTGGTCTGAGGCCATTTATAGGGCTGGATGGAACATTTTTAAAAGGAAAGTGTAAGGGAATATTGTTCTGGTTGTTTCTCTATCCACCACTGCCCAAGCAAGTGGATAGAAATGCTTTACTGAATCTTGTCCAATGGCAACCAACAATATTCCCTTACACTTTCCTTTTAAAAATGTTCCATCCAGCCCTATAAATAGCCTAAGACCAGCTCTCCATCCACTTTTCAAAGCTTGAAAGCAAACATACATTCTTGAAAATCTTCTTTTTCCTTGTTCCAAAGCATCTTTAGATATGTTTATCACCACATCAGAACCAAGATTGCTATCCCTCCATTCTTGAGCTTAAGCCTCCAATTTGTTGAAATCATCAATAAAATTACCCTCCAGTTTCTCCAAGATAAGTCTTTTAATCCTCTTCATTTTTGAATAACTGATATTTAAGGGAAAAGTGATCATCTACATCTTGCCTCATGTCTTTCACTTTGTACTTGGGGTTATTCTGAACCTTGTTCTTGAAGTAGTGTGCTAAAGCTTGTTGAGTAGTTCTTGTGTTCTTAGGCTTCTTGGCATGTATGTTTTGTTTCTAAGGTCTTAATTTCAAATCCTTGGCCTTTCTTAACGTCTGATATTAGACACAAAATAGGACAACCAATATCACACCTATATTTGAAGTCTGGTAGAGTCACTCTTCACAACTCTAAGGCCCCTTTTCCTAACAATTGAATAGTAGCTCACAATTCTTTTAGCTTCATCAAGATTCTTGAAGCTCATACCCTTTTCCAACTCCAAAAAATTGTCTAGTTTCTCAGTTACTTCTCTTCTTTTTCCCTCCTAAAAAATTCCAACTCATCACTATAATGATCACTAGCAAAAGGTTCATTTTCACTTGATTCGCCATCAGTTACTGCATCTATTGTCACAAGACATGCTTCATTAAGTTGATTGATGATATCATTAATTCTTGTATCTACTGTAATAGGGAGATATTCATTCAGTTGGTTGATGTCACCGTCAATTATTGGATCTATCGTGATAGGGAAAGGTTCATTAAGTTGACTGATGTCAAGAGTTGGGACAATATCTTCATCCTCCTCAACAACAAACAGTTGAAACACACTAGATTGAGTAGACAATGCAATCTGCAGTGTTCTAATTCTTGAATCACCCTCTACTTGATAATACTTATTAGAAGGCCCCAAGCATAGCCAGCTGTTTCACCTTACTAAAACACAATTGTTCAGTGTATTCTGAACAAAGGTCTATATATGATAGCAAATTTGGATCATACTCTTCCCATATATGAGTCAATCTTTTAATGTAATTAACTTGAGGAGTCAGGACCCACTTGCCCCCATAGTTAAAGACCACATCAACCTTTTCAGCCATTCTTTGAAGAAAGTCACATGACAGATATAAAAAAAGAGAAAGTGACTTATTAGAAAACAACGAATCTACCAATATTTTATGTGAAGATAATGGTAAAGGGATAGGGACCACATGTTATGTGTATCAGAATGCAACACCAAAAATAAATGCATTTAAGTATGACATACCTAACAGACAAGAAATCATGGAAAAATATATGCTGGAAAAGATAACTTGAGACAACATTGTTAAAAAATCATAAATCGAGATAATAATGAAAACATAAAACACATGTATCTTCTAAAAACAACTACAACATAAAAATGTAAATATACAACAACATTAGACAAATCCGAAACCCTAACTAAAAAAAGAGAAATTCTACTTGAGTGGGTGAGGATATTAATCCGCAATTGCACGAAGAGTAGAAACTTCAAATTGTTGGCAAGAAAGTTTGAGTTCTGGTGAGCTTCGATTGAAGAGAGGAGATTTGAAGATGATGAGCGTAAGTTTTTTTTAGGTTAAAAGGTTTGGGGATGAATATTGTGTTAAAAGATCTGGGTTTAGGGGTGGGGCTTTTGGGTGGGTTTGGTTTTTTTAATTAGTTTAATTAATTATTAGGGTAGTCAATAGGATAGCGACACGTCATAAATGAATAATTGAGGTTATTATTTAGGCTGTTAAAGATGAGGGCAAAATAGAGTCAAAAGGTTGACGTCAAGGGAATTTTAGGCCCGAAAGGTAGAAGAAGGGTAATTTAGTACCAATTCGCATAGTTGAGGGGTATTTTAGGCCCTTTTCCGTTTAACTTATAACTCCATTGTTTCTCTTAACTTTACATAAGATAAGACTTCTTCATATTTATGTTCAATTCGACTGGCATTTTCTACAGTTCGTTATTTCTATTTGAAGAGTGCAGGTGCAGTGATGTTCTGAAGTTTTTTGGGTTTTCTTAGAGTGAGAGATGGACCGGGGATTCGAAAAATGTGGGGAAGCGTTCTTTAACTAATAATCCAGTCATCTTACTTCTCCAAGATCATATGAGGCCCATTTATGCTACATGGTCATAGAGACTTATTTTAATGTCATCCCAGAAAGATATCCTTCTTGTAGCAAATAACAGGGGAGGTTAACATGATCAATCGTTTCATGATCTTTTCCCTGCGTTTATCTACTTTCTAATTCAGCTATCCTTTCTTTTTTCCTTTGTCCAAGTTGTGCTTTGATTGGTAGTTTCTGTTCAATTTTATGATAGATGGGACTATAGAAGACATTCTAATGACCAAAGTTGTGGTGATGTTTAGTCGTACTTGGAACTGTTACATCACACTTGCTTTGCACTTCTGGATTCATCAAACATTTATTGACCTCCACAATGTTGGCAAGCTCCTAATTATTATGTATACCTGATATAGGTTTTCGAGGAAGTTCAGAAGGAGATATCCTATAGGCCGCAGCTCAAACTGTATGCTGAAATTGTGTCCTGTTTGGGAAGCAACGGATTGCTTGAAGATATCAACTGTCTTATCATGGCATTGAAAATGGAAAGTAGTTTAGAACCTCACGTTGAGGGCTTTTATGCATTGTTGGAAAGCTTAATGAAATTTAATCTTACGAGGCTTGCACTGGAGGTCTTTTACTTGATGAAGTTGAGAGGATGTGATCCCGATAAGTTGACCTTTAAACTATTGATAAATGGTTTGGAATCGAATGAAGAAACAAATCTTTCAGATTTTGTAAGGCAGGAAGCAGAGAAGTATTATGGCCAGTCCCTAGATTTCCTAGATGAGACTGAAGAGGAGGTACCAAGATTAAAGACAATGTACTAAACTATTTGATCAGTGGTTAATATATGATGAAAAGGCAATTTGATTATTTCTTTAATTTACTTAGTATTTTGATTTTATTATGTTTCATTTCTAGAGTTTTCTCTGTGACCTATAGGTCATGAGTTCGAGGAATAGAAACAACCACTAATGCTTGCATTAGCGTGCAGGTTGTTTGCCTCACACCCCTTTTGGTGCAACCCATACCCATATCTTGCTAACGCGGGATGTTTTGTGCACCAAATTGCCCCTTTTCCCCCAATCTCTAGAGTTGAATTGTGCCTAAAGGACTCTCTTTTTGATGACTTGCACCAATATACTCGACTATGCAAATTTGTTCACATTTACCACCACTTAAGCTTAACTTATTCTATTTTGATGTATCTTTGAATACTTGTGTATCAGTATTCCCTTAATACTTTTAAAATTAAGAAAGTTAAGTTATTAGATCATTTTTCTCGTAGTCGCAGAAAATACTATTTCACAATAACTTGTTTTTATGGCAAGTGCATTTTGAATACAATATCAACTTAAAGGCATGAATTCATTTTGTCAAAAAGGTCCAAATGTGCTCCTATATTATCTAAAATTACTCAATGTTGCTCTCAGTTATACTTTTGGTCCGTTCATACCCTTATTGTTAGCAAGTTGTCTTATATTTTCGTTTACTACTAAGATAGTTCCAACAAAGAACTAGGTGGACTCTATGTGGACTCTGAGTGCAAATTCTTCAAGAAAAAAAGAAGCTCAATTTTACATCTCAACTATTCATTAAGAGATCAAAGGCAAAACAAGACATTTTCCCTAATGACAAGTTAATATTATTAGACCAAAGTTGATAATAAATTGTGTGTGAGAATTAACCACAGCTTGATCAATTCATTCATAATAAAAGCATTCATGCTCATAGATAGAAGTTGTTTGTCGACTGGTGAAGTCACCCTCAATGCAATATTCAAGTTATCATACTATTCTGATCGAAGTAATGAAAGTTCTCTAAATCGTTTTTTGTGAAATTTTAAAAAATACAGTCCAACATAAAATATTACGTCACATAACCTCAATATACCATATAATACTTGGAGAAAAAAATATTATACATAATGTATCAACCTCATATAAAAGCAAGTGATAGTACATAACAAATATTTATACACAAATATACACTAAACCAAATAACAAACTCAAATATAGGCTACCTAGTGTAAATACTTTTCTTTTTACCCTTGGGGTGGCCCCAACAATTTGGGCTTGGGACTTTCCATGATTAAGGTCTCAAGTTCGAAATCCCTTGCCAGTGAAAGCAATGAATTTGTTTTCTGGGTCAAGCTTGTTGCACCGAGCTTGCCTAGTGTGGATTACATCTCCTATGTGATTTCAAGCTATTGCCTAGAAGTGGAGGGTAGCACTACGGGTTTCATAAAAAAAAAAAAAAAAAAAAAAAATTCTCCAAATAGACTAGAGTGATTTTCATTTTTTGGGGGAGGGGGAGGGGTTACCATAAAGGATGAAAAAGAGAATATTCTCTAGACTCTCACTGTTGTGTTATTTTAGCTTTCAATTTCATTGGACTCTTTTTTCGCCTTTTGCCTACTGCAACGAAAGCAGAAAGGAGGAGTGACATCCGGGATCACTGAGCCAGTTGAAACGAGCAGCGAGAGAAGGAGCAAAATATGGAGAGCTCCGGCGAACTGGTGCCTTTCCCGTTGCTGACGACACCGATTGAATCGAATTACCGAGCATGCACGATCCCTTACAGGTTCCCTTCCGACAATCCCAAGAAACCAACCCCCACCGAGCTTTCCTGGATCAACCTCTTTATGAATTCCATCCCTTCGTTTAGGTATTTTTTTTTTCTGTTCGAATTAGATTTGTGCGTTTTTACTGTCAGGATGAGAAGGCACTATTTGTTTTCAACCTCCAGTTGTAGATTCAAAAAATGATGTGTAGATCATACATTTTGGATTTAATAGTCACCTTGTTAAGCTAACTATTGCTCGAAATAATTCGTATATCTGATTTTACTGCATTATAATTAAACAATATAGGAAAAACAGTATCTGTCAGTGGTGCAGAGTTTTGATCATTCTTTGGATTAACCCATGGAATTTCTTGATTTTTGTTAATTAATGCAGGAAGAGGGCTGAGAGCGATGACACTGTTCCAGATGCACCTATGCGAGCCGAGAAGTTTGCTCAGAGGTACCCTTCTATATCATTTTGTATTTTCCTATTACCTCTCATTTCACGGAGTAGGATAGTCAATGGAATAGAGAAAAAGTTCGTCTATTTCATTCCCTTTGTTTGAGGAGGGAAGTGGTGGCAACCAAGGGGAAACTAAAATAGAAGAACTAGTTTCCATTAAGCTTAATTACAGTGTGCTGAAAGAGTGCTGTTTTTAGTCTTTTCTTTGATTCTCTATTTATCCAACAAGCCAGCTTAAGTACAATGTGCTAAAAGGGTGTGTGGAGCAGCTGGTGGGCTAAGTAGTAGACATTATTTTCTCATGTAATTACATTTCCTTTCCTCTTTTTTTTTTTTTTTTTTTTTTACTTTTCAAGTTTGGTATTTTATGTTAGATAATGCAACTTCCAACTAATGCAGTGTTATCAAAGGCAAAAAGCACATAGAACTACCAAGCAAAAGTTTTTGTGATTAAGGGTGTAAGTAGAAAATTAAAATAAATGTAATGCAAGGAAGACTAACTATAAACACAAATAAAATTCAATAGACACAGGAACTGAAAAAAAACGACAGTTAAGATGTCAATCAAGTTACAAAATCACTTCAAGTTTCTGATTGATATGCAAAGATGTATTTGAAGTTTCTAATATAGTTTCCGTATAATAAATCCCTAATTTCCTACTTCCAGTTACTAACATCTCATTGAATTTGATTAATTATTGATTAACTAACTAATAACTATATCAACTGCTTACTGTTGCTTTTCTAGATAGAACCCATATGTGTGATTAGCCACATGCTTCAGCAATTTGATGCACATACTAAAGAGTGCCGCCTAATTGAAGCTAAGTGCCCATCTTGTGTTGCACTTAACCTTAGGGTTATAGAGTCCCTCAAGCCCACCTTCCACAACACTAACAAAGGAAATGAGAAGCTAGGAAGAGGAGGAGGACAGATGAGAGGGAGAGAATTGGGGATGTTAATCATGGATGTCTTATGCTTCTGAAATGAGAGCAGAATGAATAACCTGGATAAAAGAAACATAATCAAGGTGGGCTTGTTAAGTGGGAGGATATAGCAGGACAAAGTTGCTTGATAAAAAAAAAAAGGACTAAGTTGGTCCTGGCAAACAGATGTGAAAGCAATTATGTGGTCAACCATTTGAAGTGTGCAAGTTTACTCTAGCCATGAGAAGTGTGCGAGGGATTTTTTGCTCGATTGTACATTCTTTAGAGTAGACTATGTTTCACAAGCTAGCAATAGATGATTGGGTGTTACAAGTAGAGAATCATTTGTACAAGATTCTCTATTAGTCCAAGTATTATATACGAGATTTTGCCTTTTCAATCAACAACTACAACTCAATCTCAAACTAGTTGGGCTTGGTTATATGAATCTTCGTATTTTACTACACATTACTCGGACCTGCTCTTATATCATCTTCTTCCAATCAATAAAATAACTTATTTCGTCAATACTTATCCAAAAAAAAAAAATTACTTTGTAAAAGAAAAACATTATTGTGCAAGTTACTTAGTTACTCTAATTGTAAGTGGTTTTGATTTGTCATCAAAATGATGAAGAAAACAAAGTCACTTTGGACCATACCTTGAGCAAGTGTCAGTATATTTCAGAGGGTTTGAGGTTTATATTTACAAATTGAAAATTGATGATAGTTTCCAATTTCTACCTGTACTTCTTTTGGTGGATAGGTATGCTGCAATACTTGAGGATATAAAAAAAGATCCTGAAAGTCATGGAGGGCCTCCTGATTGCATTGTAAGTTGAACCATATTAAGCTAGCAATTGTTGACTCTTACGTTTCCTGATAACTTCTTGTTGTTGCTAAAAAGCTTAACTCTTTCTCCTTTGTTTTCTTTTAGCTTCTTTGTCGCCTTAGAGAGCAAGTACTTAGGGAAGTGGGGTTCAGAGATATATTTAAAAAGGTCAAGGTTAGTGTCGTTTCTCCAATATTAAATTCTCAAGTTGATTCTCCTGTTAGCAAGTGGTCAAAGAAGTAACCGTAAGGATATGAAGAGTATTATGAAAATCTCTAATATGAAATTTCATTGATTACCTATGATCAAGAGTAGAATAATTGAGGGAAAGATATTACCGTAGTTAAAAAAAAGACTGGCATTGCATCTGCTGTGCAGACATACTTCTGGGTGTCTGCTGGTGGATGTTGACATACCTTACAAAATAAACAATCCCATTTCTTTAAAGATCATCAATTGTTTTGTGCTCCTTATCCTGCAACATTAGAAATTAGTATCAGGTTTTAACTTCGTTACATTGTTGGGTGTATTAAAATGTGCTAGGATGAAGAAAATGCAAAGGCTATATCCTTATTTAAGGAAGTAGTATGTCTTAATGATGCTATTGAGGATGAAGCCAAGCGTGTAGAGAATTTGATCAGAGGAATTTTTGCAGGAAATATATTTGATCTTGGCTCTGCAAAGGTAAACCATGCTTTTTGATCCATGACTTCTTCATAATCACTGCATGAAGTCCATTAATATTCTTTTTTTTTTAGATAAGGAAGTCCATTAATATTCTGAACCATTATTTCATTTGGATTGTATATTTACCCTGGGAGTAAGTCAAGTTATGGCAACTAAACTCTTTCAATCAGCTGCATTGGTTTATCATATAGCACTTTTGACAATATAGATCCAATGCTATGCCCAAATTATCTAAAAATTCCAGTGGATTATTTTTATTATTAAGTAATAAATTTTATTAATGTTTGGGCAAAAAAAAGCGTACAAATCTACCAAGAGTAGAAACACCCACAGAAATAGATGGTTTTCAATTCTAGTGGAAGGTTAAGTTGCTCAAGTTCATATTTCCTCAGTTGGTT